CCTCCCAATCCCCTCCCGCTCCCCCACACTCCCTCCTCCCTCTCCCACCCTGCTTAAGAGAGGGCAGGGAACCCTGCCCTGTGGGAAGTCCAAGGCCCTCCCCACTACATCCAGGCCTAGGGAGCTGTGCATCCATATAGACTAGGGTCCCAAAAAGACAGGACATGCCATAAAAACAAGTCCCAGTGCCTTTATCCATGGCTTCTCAGTCAGCCCCCATTGTCAGCCACAATCAGAGAGTCCAGTTTGATCACATGCTCATTCAGACCCGGTCCAGCTGGATTTGGTGAGCTCCCATTAGAACAGGCACACTGCCTCAGTTGGTGGACCAACCCCTCACGGTCCTGACTTCTTTGCTCTTCTCCTCCCTCCTTATGACTTTCAACTGGACCTTGGGAGCTCAGTCCGTTCCTCTGATGAGGGTCTCTGTCTCTATCTCCATCCGTCGCTGGATGAAGATTCTATGGTGATATTCGAGATAATCCTCAGCATGATAGTGGGGCAAGGACCATTCAGGGCAAAAGTTCTAAGCATGGGGGTGGGGGCAGGGGTGGGAGTGAAGTTGGGGAAAGGGGGAGGGGGGGGAATGGAGAGGGGAAGTACTGGCAACAGCTTGGGGGAGTGGGAGGGTGGAGATAAAGGAAGGGCGGATATAGGAGCAGGGAAGAAGATATCTACATTAGGGATCTATTTTAGGGTTGGCAAGAGACTTGGCTCTAGAGGGGATCCCAGGTGTCCACGGGGATGTCCCCAGCTAGGTCCTTGGACAGCAGAGGAGAGGGTACCTGAACGGTCCTTGTCCCACTATCATGCTGATGATTATTTCTTTTGCCTTTTCTTCTCTGCTAATTTCAAAACCTTCTCGCTCTCCTCTCATTGGCAGCTCTACCAGAACTGGAGTTGAGGAAGGGATGTAAGTGTTGGGATTTGAGCCTGTTTTCAGAGTCTCTATAGGTTAGTGCCAGGACATTCTGTCCATTTCTATGTCAGCCCATCTCTAAGGTATTTTTAAAGCATAAGAACAGTCTATTGTCAGGCATCTCTTAACTGTAGATTATAAATAGCGCCTGGTTAAGAATGTTCTGGATGGGTTAATTAGAGTGGTGGCTATTATTAAGCAAACTGCTTGTTAGTATTATGCCTGTTTGAACTTGGTATTGATGAGAAGTAATTGACCACAGAACTGCATCCAGAAAGGCAGAAAGGGTATTGTTTTTAATTTCTATTATGGCAATAAATTGTTTGCATAAACATGCCTATAAAAATATGAGCTCCAAGGCACAGAGACTCAGATTGTGTGGGATGGTGAATGATATTGTTTTGTTTTATTTTCAGATTAATTTATTTGTCCAGTCCTTTTAACAGTCAGCTTTATTGAAATAAAGTAGTTAAAATGTGTTGTATTTTCTGCTATTACTTTTGCTGCAAAGTATATGAGAATAGTGTTTTTAACTTCAGAACTAAAGGAGGTATCCTGTTAAATTCAGGTAATACATAAGTATTTCTTTGGTTGACAATCACTATAATGAATAGACTGTTTAAAAATGTGAAAAGATGTATAAATATGGGAAAAATTGCTTGTAACCTCCTTCTTCTAAGTACTGGATTGTTATCTATGTTATTTATTGGTATTTTGTCCAGCTCAATTATTAAGTTTCCCTAGCTCTAGCATTCCATGGGGAATTTATTCTATGAGCTAATAAATTATACCGTCAGGGAGTTTTTCTTGAAATTCAGCTTTAAATTTCCTATTCTTAATTTCATCTCATTATTCCTAGTTATACCCCCTTGTACCAGGCTAAATAATTATTCTTTCTCCTTAGAGACGCCTATTATGTGTCCGTCTCGTTGTCACTTCACCAGCCATTCATATTTAGCTCCTTTAATCTGTCCTCATAAATCAACACTTCCATTGCCTTAATCATTATTACTGCTCTTCTAAGATCTCTCTAATTTTCAAACATACACAGTTGTAAGGGATTCCAGTGAAACCAGCACTCACAGAGCCTGGGCTTCTTCCTACCTTTGCAGGAAGACCCAGGACTCAGGTGCTGTTTACCTGGCGTGTCAGCACTTGCTTATCAGACCAGGTCAGGGTGTTTTCGGTGACATTTTCCTTATTCCATCCTTGTTTCAGGATTGGTTCTGATTTCATGGGTGTGTGGGGTGTGTAAACTCTTTGGGTTTATATCTTGCATCTTCCATGTCCTTATTCACTACCATCTATCAAGGCAGCTGCCACAACCTGTATTAGCAGGAGAGTCTGATCATCCCTGAGAATGTCTGGAAAGCCTGTGGAATGACCTAGAACCTGCCCACCACAAAATTCCTTGTCTGTTGTCAGCCTCTATTGTTTATAGCCCTTTAGCCAATTTCCTTTCATTGCAGTTTCCCTCACATGCTGGACAGTAGAAATGGATTTTAATAGAGTAAGATGGGTCCCGATATGTTTTATAAAAATGAAGATGTGGTTTCAATGCCCATTGATTTGTTACTGTGAATCCTTTATACTTGGTCTGTAATTTTGTTGGACTCTTTTTGGTTTGCTGGCAGTCTTTATCTACATAAACAATAGACTTACATTTCTGCTGCTTTCCAGATGTGGCTGAGGCTGGAGGCTCCTTCTCTTACCATTTGTCCTTCTGTCCAGAAGTTAAAAATCTGTCTCTGTCTCTTTCTTCCCCTTCCCCTCCCTCTCCCCCCCTCTCTCTCACACACACACACAGACACACACACACACACACACACACACACACACACACACACAGTGAGAGCTATTGATGCCCTTCATATGTTGAATTCATTTTAAGAAGAAGGTAAGTTCATTTGTTCCTTTAAAACTTCTGCACTTTTGAAGTAGAATTACAGTCTATACATGCCCAGGCTTCTTCACATTTTAAATCAAAAACCATATTATTTTATTAAGGTACTTACAGAATTGGTACCATAATTTGCACCTTCTCTGTGTGTGCTGCTGTCTGCTTAGCACTGGGAAGGAAGGTGTTCCATGAATCTCATTGGCATTTCTCTACCTGTTAGAAATCAAAATAGATACCAGGCTTCATAAAACAAACATTGGACTCCCTGGAGACTTTTTTGATTGTAGAACCTCCATGGTGTGCTATAAAACAGCTATTCAGTTCACTTACACTTCCCTATGCCTTCTGGTGTTGCTCATCAGACCTGTCTTTAGGCCCAGTTAACGTTCTCTCCCTGTTCCGTAAGCTCTGTCTTCACTTCTCAATGCACCTGTGTTTGTGTGTTTGTTTTTAATATCATTCACTGCATATCGTTTCTGCCCATCCTTCTCCCCCATGGGGCATATATGTATACATGTGTATGTTTGTAATTCTCATCTCCACCTCTGTTAGTCTTGCTTGAAATAAGGGGCCTGAACCAATGACTTCATGAAGTTAGTCTTCAGATTCCATGTCTGGTATCTGAAAGATTTTGTTTTGTTGTTTTATTTTTCTGTTTCCTTTTCTCTTTACTTCAGCTTTGAAGGAAAGCCATTTATTACCTTTTACAAACCATCCCTTTTCAATAAATCCTGCCATTATCATATGTTACAATATCTTCTTCTGTTGCTCAAAACTTTTCTGTCTTCAGAACCTGAATTCTTTACTTAGCTAGTGTCCCCTGGGAAATAGTCCTAAGTCCTTTATCCACCTATCTCCGTGTTTCTCACTCATCAACCCTTGTCTTCTGCAGGGTTTTTGCCTATTCCACCCTGCAGAAACTCTGTGAGCATTAGCAGCCATCAGCATGGGACTGGTCCAAGTGCTGAGCAGCCGTCCTCCAGGCCCTCTGAACGGTCTTGTGCTTCTGTTTACATGTGCTGTGGAGGAAGGCTTTTGGTTCATTTCTGAAATGTGGCATTGCTCTCTCAAAATCACTTTCTCCACTTGGGTTCCTTTTTCGGCTTCCAGAAAGTTTCTTCCCTGCCTACTTATAAGTACACATATTCCCTATTTATTCACTGGCTCCACAAATCAGGAAGAGACCTAGACTCTAGAGGATGGGCTTACAGAATTCTGAGAGTTCAGTCACCTGGGCCAGCCAGCTCCTCCAGACCTGCATCCAGGACTCTGGGTTGTGTGCTATTTGCAGATGAGACCCTCTTCCTCCCATGCTCTCTACTATCCTCTCAATACAGACTTTGCTGCCCTGCAAAATATTTTAATTAAGTTCTCTTTAAGCCTTTACTGGTCTATAAGTCAGGAATACTCTTTTATTCCCCAGTTTCGAAAGTTAAGGTGTCTGTTGTGAGTAAAGTGTTGCCAGCATAGGTTAGTTGTGTTCACTCACCTTTCTTCCATTCTAAGTACTTGTGGTTTGGTCCCCAGAGATGGATATCTCCTTGAGGTTAGATCTTGTAATGGTATAGGTGACTCTTTGATTGTAAATTATATTAGTACTTTGTTTTTAAAGGATTTTGTTGGTTCTTTGAAAATCAGTAGCATATTTAACTCTGTTTGACAAAAGCATTATAGGAAAACATAGAAATGAAATTGAATAAATATACTTCAGGAAATATCAGACTGGTCAATTTAATAGAAGGCATATATAGGTTCCCCGGAGTACAGAGCAGCCACATGAACAGAAGTAGAGTTAACAAAGGAAGTTTCAAGCATTGTCAATGAATAATAAATGTTCTAAGACATAGAGTGACTGAAAAGCACAAAATGGGAATCCAGCAAGACAAATGAGAGGCAAATAACTAAGTACATCTAGAGCCTCGTGGTCTACAGTGTGTGCCACACCATTTGTAGCCACAAAACCTCTTTGGAAACTTCTCAAAGACACTTTGACCAACTTCAAACCTTTGAGCGTTCTCTTGGTGACTAATACTTGCTGCCCTTTCCTGAGAACTGTTGTCATAGCATCTTCGCTTTCTCTCAGTTTGGTATGTCGTCACTGTGTCCTTACAGGAAGGTAAGGGACTCATTTTACTTTTTTTCTTTTTCACAAAAACATATTGCATTCCCTTTCTGTAACAGATTCATGCCCGAGCACAAAATAGCCCACTTAAGGAGGATGCTCAGCCTTAATGGAAATGGTGTTGCAGCTCTGCCCGTGATGCCTCCTTTCCAGCCAGAGCAGAGGGATTCTAAGAAGTTACTGGAGAATTGTAAATCAAAGTCTGAGGAACACCCTGACCTTGATGCCGGACAGGAGACCCTGGACAATCCATTTATCCAGAAGTCAAGCTTGGAGAAATTCGGTTTGTCAGAAGATAATTCTGGCTCTCTTCCTGTGAGGAACAGTCTAGCTCTTGATCCCAGCAACCTTTTGTGTGGAGCTCATGATCAACAGAGACCGTTGCATATCACATGGCCTCACAGGTGGTAAGTCAAGACATGCCAGTTTACTGAGAGTTTTACAAAAGGGGTTCTGATGGTGGGCTTTCCAATCTGCTGTCCTTGTAGCTTCTAAAGAAAAGGATCGCTTGAATTTGCACTTAGAGTTTCACATGGTTATACACTAGCACAGAACCAAGGCAGCACTGCTCATAGCTGTACATTAATTACTGTGTTTTTACTTTATATGTGGATTATAGAAAATGTTTGTAATGATTTGTTCAACTAGCAACAGCAGCCAGACACATTTAGAAAATCAAATCTTACTCAAGAAGTTTCAAAGTAGAAAAATCAGATGCCATTATACACTCACAGAGAGTGCTAATCCAGAATTAATTCACATATGGACATCAATAAACCGCATCACTGTTCATACAATAATTTCCATTCTTACCTTGACCAGTGTTAACTGGACAGCTTCCTTTTACTTGTCATAGTGTATTAGTTCACGGGAAGCCATCTACCTCCTACCAAATGCCTTTGTATTGTGCTAGACAAACTGTCTAGCTGAATTTCCTCTCATCACAGGAAAGTCAGTGCAGCATATAATCCAGCCAAATATAAACTCATAAACCTAGCCCTGGCTTTTATAAATTAGGATTTAAGGAGGTAAAATGTCCTGATAATCTTCTGGTATTAGGCATGAATATTTTAATCTAGTTTTTATTCCTCCCAGTTAGTTTAATCTGCATGTGGCCTGATTTGAGTTGCTTCCCCTACAGATTATGGCCTCTTTATTGCAGCAGTGCTGGGCTGATCATTAGGTCCGATTGAGAGCAACTGTCTGCAGGTGAAGTAATAAGCACACACACCGGCGGGAAGGCGCCTTTGCCCAGGATTTGCCTCCAAGCACATTAAAACTCCTCAAGCTCTCCCAGTTGATCTGCAGCATCTGGTACCTAAAGGGATTTTGTCTTTTGATTCTAAATGCATGAACCTAAAATTTAGGGGCTAAACGTTATTAGGAGATGCGGTTTGTTCACCGTCACCCTTCCAGCATCATGTTGAACTCAGTATCCTTTCCTGTGATGTGAGATGCTGTGGGGTCGGGATGAAATGAACCCTCTTTGAAGGTAAAATACACATCCTAATTTACCAGCTTCTGAAAATCTCTCTTGTTCCATTAACCTTTGCTTCTAAGTGAATAGTTATTACAAGAAAGTCAGTTCTTAAAAGTTTGGTTCTAGGTTTTCGTAAAAATGTTGAATAATTTGGAAACTGGGTATAAAACACCAGTATAGAGGCAAGATTGAGAACCGTGTTATTCAATACTTTGCACAAAATTAGGCAGAGCTATGTTAATAAAATTAACAATATTAAATTGAATAATTCCCTCTCTTCCTTTGTATATTTTTGCTTTAATTTAATTTAATTGCCTAAAGTTAGTTGCTTAAAGAGATGCAGCATGATGTTTGTGCACATTCTTATTGTTAAGGCTAAATTATTTTTAATTTGGAGAAGAGGGGAAAAAAGCCGCATCAGCAAGAGTAAATGCCAAAATATAAAAGTAACACATTCATCCTTACGGGTAATATAGTAGAACATTGGAAACTTGGAGGTTGCCAGACACATAGCTAACATTAGGGCTAATTTTGAAAATCTAGCGTGCAGTCAATTTTACTGATGCCTGGGGACATACAAGGTAGAAGCTGACAAGAGAACTAATTTTGTTTGGGTTATTTACTGCTATGCATCATCCACGGGTTCCCGCCTGACACACAGCTATATGAAGGGGATATTATCACACACTAAAAATTTATGTTGACATTCGATATTTGTTCAATATGTCAGCAGTATTACTTTCATAATCAAAAGAGTAAGAAAAAGAAAAAAGAAAAGCACTTTATGCTCATATAGATATATCTTTTTAATAACAGTCTATAAGGTTAATATAGTTTACCTTTGAGAGTATACAATGAAAACAAGCAGGGTTAGGAGGGGAAATGACAGAAAGCATCAACCCAAGCTGTTTGTTTGCCATTACCTACGCGAGCCATGTCAGCTCTCTGGCCCGCGTCTGATAGCTATTTGTTGTACAGAGAGCACAGCATAAAAAAAATATCAAACTCTTAATACTATTGTGTGCCCATAACCATCTGTCACTGCTAGCCTGGAGATGAGAGGAAGATTAGGAGGAATAAACACTGAGCCGCCGAGCATTGGTAAAGCCTTCGGGCAAAAAACTCTTGTGGGGACATCAAAGACATTCTAATTCCGAGGCAGTCAAGGATTACAGTGTGTAACCTGTGCTGACAACAGATAAATGACTGGCAATATTGTGCCAGAGCTGTTGGGTCCTGCATGGAGTACTGATGATGATGATGATGATGCTATCTTGCAGAATGGACTCTGCTGGGATAATTTTATGATAAAACACTTTTTTCAAATGCCACTGGGTCTAGGCAGACATTTACTAGCTACAGGGGTAGCAATCAGTTTCTTCAAAATTTACTGTTCTAAGCCCATTAGAGTTCCGGCACAGCAAGACTCTCCAATGAAAAGCTAAAATGCCTATGTTTTCTTTAGGAGAATATATGCAAATGTTGAGAGCTGAATTCCTACCCTTTAGTGGTAGGTGCTTTATCATCTGATTTATGTAAATTTGCTCATAAAAATCCAGTTTATTTTTAATTGGTGAATATGAATTAGAAAATTAAGACTCTGGTTCAGCATTCAGCCCCAGCTTCGAGCACACATTTATTTAGACTTCCAATTGTATGGCTGGAAATCCCATCATTGACCTATCACTATGAATTGTGTTCTGAAGGAAAACAAGATTTCACTGGAAGTGAGCAGGGCTGTCTGGGTCTCCTGTGCAGCCCTGTTCATTCACACCTCCGTGTTTAGGCTTACTATGTGTGCCCTTGTCTGCACCTGAGCACTTTAACTTGTGTGTTCCTTCTGCGTAGCTATGGGAAGCTCTGCTGTCTGTTGCATTTTTGATTGGCCATACACATTTTCCAGAGAGGTGTTTCAGGAAAGAATATGCATAAATGAGAAATGGACAGGGGAGATAGCTGTGTCATAAAACTTGTCATAAGAAATGTGTCATAAAATCATGCAGTGGTTGTAGCTAACTGGAAATGAAGTGATGGTGACTTCTCAGTGTTTCTTCCATCATGGCATCATGAGTGGTCCCAAACACAGTGTCAGCCTCTAACATATCTTGTAGTAAGTCAGCCAAATGTAGAGCCTCCTTGGTAAAATATGTATCAAAATCAAAAGTGACATTTTTAGAAGATACATTCTGTTTTTGTATCTGTGTTAAAATGTCTGCATGAGAGCAGCCCCTTAAACACAAGGTTTGCCCCCGTTGGTCTTCCTGAGCCGAGAGTGTCAAGGATTGTAGTGCACAGCCTGTGCTGACAGTCGACAGGTAACTGACGGTATGTCAGCAGTGCTGGGTTCTCTGCAGTCTGACAGTCGACAGGTAACTGACGGTATGTCAGCAGAGTTCCTGGGTTCTCTGCAGTCTGATTTATTTTCTTCTTTCTACCCAGTCTTTAATGTCTTGTTGTAAACATCTGTAGCATGGCACTGCTAATCGAAATGGCTTAGAGAAAGACCTGTGAAAAACACTGCATTTGGCAGTGCTTGTTTTTCTAAGCTGTTTCTTTCCAAAAAGTAAAGCATCATACCAGCTTCCAATCTTTATGTAAATGTTTCTGTATCGTGGTGGGCACAAAGACATACTGCTAGATGGAGAGTCAAAACAAGTTTAGAGCATAGTGGAAGCTCCCCCTTGTCCAGGCTCCTCTCCTCCAACTCACACTCCTGAAATTAGAGGGCCAGGGAAATGGTTCAGGGGGGAAAGCTCTGACACAGGAAGCTTGGTGACCCCTGTTCTTTCCTCCAAACCCATGAAAATGTGGAAGAAGAGAACCACTTCCACAGGGTTGTCCTTTCTCATCTGAGCATGCATGTGCTTGCCCCCACACACAAATGCACATACTCTCATTATAATGGTAAAGTTTTACAAAATTGGTAGCACACCAAAGGCTTTTGTTTCGATTATACCTAAAAGTATTTACTGTTTTTCACCTGAAAACTGAGAAAAGTCTGTAAATCACATTGTCTACATTGTGTTTTGTTCTATTTTGTTTTTTGTCCTTTTCTTTCTTTGTTTGTTTGTTTACAACAGAATCTCCTGTAGCTCTGGCTGGCCTTGAATTTACAGGGATCCACCTTCCCCTGCCTCCTGAGTGCTGGGAATAAGGCAAGTGCCACTATACCCAGCTCACATTGTCATTTTAAATAGCAAGAACACATTAACAAGCACGTGCTAACACAAATCATATTTTGTGAAAAATATAGTTTCAAAAATAAAAAGTACTGGTAAAGAATGAGATTAATTCACATCTCTATACCTGTTGCAATGTGTTGTTTCAGTAGAAGATTGTGAAGAAAATCCTGCCTTGTAGAGCTGTCACTTTGAAAAGGAGTATTGTCGGGCCTATTCTGCATATTGTAGATGCTCTTTCATGCTATAGCAGACAAGAAGGGTTTGTTTTAGCTTAGTTTCACTGTGGAATTTGGAGCCAGCACAGTGTGTTATACATTGTCTAGTCCCTGCAAAGTGAATAGATTTTTCTGGGGCATTGTGTATAGTCACATGGAAAAGAGAGATTCACAGAATAATATAGGTCTGCTGTGTGTTGACATGATTCATCATATGATTTTGAGCTGTCACTATGAATCTCATAAGAAACATGTTTGAGTTTTAGAAAGCTCTTAAGCTTATGGTATAGGTACAGTTTCACCAAAATTCTATCAGACATGTAAAAGCTATAATTTATGATAGGAAGCATATATATTGGTTATTTTCTTTAAAAACTAGTTTCACATGGTTTGCATTTAAAAATATTTGCTATAAAAATATTTGCTATACTCAAGTCAGATTATCAGTGGTGTGTCTAGCGTTCATTCGGATAAACTCTGTGCTAAAGAAAGTAGCTGTTTTATCTCATATGTCAAGCATTCATACGAAT